AGTCGAGACTCGTACATCCTTTCGGGACCCGAATCTTTTGCCCGCAGCTGGGAGAATCACATCTTCTACACGGCCGTGTTTGCGTGATAGAGTCAACAGCAAGTCGAGAGAGTTCAACTTGCGGCCGTTGGGATCAAGTCTTGCTTACACTGTAAGGTAAGCAAAGTTACACCGAAAATTGATCCGAGTCACGGGGTCTGAGCTTACCAAGGAGTGGACCTACTTGTATTATGACTTGGGATTGGGCCTCTTCGAGGCGGGCGCTGAACCTTTAGGTTCAATTGGAAATCAGTTATCAATTTGAAGAGTAAATTCTATGATCCAAAACAATTGGGTTGGATAGGCACCAAAGGCGCTTAGATAAAGCCGCTTTAGATTGTGATATGCAACTACGGCCAAAAAAAGAAAGTGTGATTCTACACATTCTGAAAGCAAAATATTCGTAAACAGGGGGGTTAAAAATTTTCCTCTTACAAAAACTGTAAATTGACTGATTCATGTCTACTTTCGATCTATGGTTGTTGCTTCTACTTTCATCCAGACCACTCGAGGTTGGCGGCCAACCTCGCCAGGTCCTTGATGTGAAGGCGCACGATTGCCGTGACAGAGTATGACGGCACTCTCGGCCTCTGCTATCACGATGACCACGATGTTACTCGCCTCTACACACTCCATTTCACCAGCTATCGTCGTTTGAAGATGATAATTCAACTGTCCCTAGCTCAGGTTGGATTAATCCAACCATGTCTTTGCGCGAAGTCGGATTGATCCGGTTTAAGCGGATTAAGCCAGTGTAGCTCATGTGTAAAATACCGTATCAAATGCGATACATGACTTTTCTACAAACTAATTCAAGAGATTGAGCCGTTCTCAGGGATTAAGCCATGCAGTGAGGATCAAACCGATTAAGCAGGTAATTCCAAAGAAGCGGATTGAGCCAGAAAAATTAAACCGTTCAACCCGATTCAGCCATTACAGTTAACAATGTGCGGCAAACCGGCACGTATAGCGGCGCCCAGAGGGATTGAATAGTTCACATGGTAGCCAGGCAGCCAGGGGAATAATTCGAGGGGAAGGGGAAACGACATGGGTGGCAATGAGGGATCGGGTGGCATTCAAATAATTTGCAGTGGCAGTGCACCCTGAGCCCTCCTTGTAGGCGCGTGAGCGTAGGTCGCATCCCACAGGTGAGATAAGGTGGTAAAGGTGTCGAGGATGGCGAAGTGGTGATTGATCTCGGGGATTACAGCTGTTTCCGAAAAGCTTGACACTAACATTTTTTTTTTCGAATACTACCGGCGCTGTGGGCGTTCCCCCGAGCCCCATGAAAAAATCGCTGAAACAGCTTCTCGGGTAAAGATCTCACTTCAATATCCGAATTGGAGCTCATATGTTTAAGTTTCGAATCAGCTAAATACTTCAACTTCAACTTCAAGCTCAGCCACCTTAAATGGTCTCTATACACTGCGGTGGCCCATGCATTTTTGGGGGCCAAACATCAAGTCCAAACACGTCACCCGGTTTGGATATATTTTTAACACCGGATGAGGATGAGAGTAAAATCTTATCTTTTTGGGACTGCTTTTGGAACCTAAACATGACACAAAACATTTCGGTTCTCTGAATACTGAATCAAAAATCCACGCTTTTTCCCTGTCTTTTTGGCCAACGAAACATAGGTCATTTTTGTCGCCTCAGCAGAAGCAGAAAGAATAATATCTCTTTGGAATAAGAAATGGATGATTGTTTGTGGCCGAAATGATGATCAAACATGGGTTATTTTTGAATCTATTTTCGCGGCCGAAAAACAAGTGGTTTCAGAGTGCCAAAAAAGACAAAGAAAAAATATTATTTTTGTAGACCGTTTTAGCTGCTAAAAATCATTCGGCGCGTGTATAGAGCACACTTTAGAACACGCCGAAGCGTGCGCTAGAACCCGCCAAAGACATGCTAAGGGTGCGCTTGCAACCCGCTGGGCGCGCGATGCGGGTCCGCTTGGCGTGCCATGCGGCGGGCGCTGAGCGCGCGAATGATTTTTAGCAGCTAAAACAGTCTACAAAAATAATATTTTTTCTTTGTCTTTTGGCACTCTGAAACCACTTGTTTTTCGGCCGCGAAAATAGATTCAAAAATAACCCATGTTTGATCATCATTTCGGCCACAAACAATCATCCATTTCTTATTCCAAAGAGATATTATTCTTTCTGCTTCTGTTGAGGCGACAAAAATGACCTATGTTTCGTTGGCCAAAAAGACAGGGAAAAAGCGTGGATTTTTAATTCAATATTCAGAGAACCGAAAGTTACTATGCTTTGTGTCATGTTTAGGCTCCAAAAGCAATCCCAAAAAGGTAAGAATTTGCTCTCATCCTCATCCGGTGTTACAAATATACCCAAACCGAGCGACGTATTTGGACTTGATGTTTGGCTCCCAAAAATGCATGGGCCACCACAGTGATAGTCGTCTTGCCGAACGAAATCATCGCTGAGATCTTCGGCCACTTTCTCCCTACCTACCCAGAGTGCCCGCCGCCCGTGGGTCTCTTTTCGCCGTCGGTGTTGGGTTGCGTCTGTTGGAAATGGCGAAAAATCACGCTTTCCACTCCTTCGTTTTGGAGCGCCATCGAGCTGCGTATCAGTGACGGCAGAGTCCTCAGATCCCAGATGGGTTTACTGGAAACTTGGCTCAGTCGTTCCGGCAATTCCTCACTTTCCATCGCCCTCACGTATGAGCCGACCGCCACCGCGGACGAAGACACGAAAAATCTATCCATAGCCCCATTCATCCGTCTTATAATGTGTCACTCTCACCGTTGGGATAATGTCGAGCTTATGGTTCCCTTCGACGACCTTCATCTGCTCCATGGTGCCGGCAACATACCGCTCCTCCGCGACTTGACGTTTGGACCAAGCAGTTACCCCGCCGGGAAAGACTCCGTAGTGGATCTCTTCAACCAGGCCCCAAAATTGAGCATCGTTGTTCTCACAGACACATTCCTGTTCTCCTTGATCCAGCTTCCGTGGACCCAACTCACCTAGTCTCTCCTAGACAGATGCTTCAACATATGCAGCTCGTACCTTGCTTGTTGAACACCAGCCTGTTCGCACACTACGTTTCCCATGACGAGTGTGCAGAAATTCTACGGCACGCGGTTCATCTCGTTCAGTGCACCCTTACGCTCTGCGAGCTGAATGAAGTCATCACCGTTCCCAGTGTCCCCCCGCACTTCCACCTCCAATGCTTGATCTTATTGGAGATCGACTACGTCGATAACTCCCAAATGCTTCTTCTCGACAATTTGACGCTTCCTGCGCTCCAGAGCCTCCAGATATCTGAGCCGTGGTTTGGCCCTAGCCCCGTGGGGACGTTGGTATCGTTAGTTGCCAGGTCCGGTTGCCCGTTGGAAGAGCTCCATGTTACCGAATCAACAATCCTGGAGAGCGTTTATCGCGAGGCTTTACTTTCTGTTCGACATTTCATATTCGATCCCCACATCTCTCCGAGTCCCAGTGACTGTGAGAGCTGCGACGAATCCGACCGTATCGCCTCGTAGTACACATGTCTTGTTTACATATTCTGTCCAGGTCCGGGGCTGGGATCGCCGGACTTACCGGAATAATACACACCACTCGTTTACTTCCACATGGGTCCGAAGCTGGTCCAGATGGCAGATCGGGCGCAACATCACCCATCACAACATATATTGCTGATCTTGAGAAGCAGAACCCCTTTAACAATCAGCCTGTGGATCCTAACTACGATGGACGACTACGCTCATAAATCACCACATAATATTTTGAGCATACATTCTTGTACTGAATTCGCGTCTCAGCCTTCCCATTATCACGCCATATTCTCCAACTCTCTCTAGATAATTGAACGCACGTCCGACCGTCTAGGGACCAAGTTCGTTTTAAATGCCGCCGGTAAACTGCATACGAAGTCAGCAGTGCAGGCACATCTATAAGTGAAGCGACACACACAACGACACCAGCATCGATGGCTTCATGCTTGGAAGGTGCATCCAACGGCTTCTCAAAATCGAACGCCCAAAGTAGCATCGAAATCTGAATGAACAACACCTGGTGGGCAAAGTTCAAGCCGACGCAGATGCTGCAGAACAATCATCGTGGATTAAAGGTCAAGCGAATAGCGCCAAGAAGAGTGCGCACCGCCGACCGAATCCAAACGTGGCGTGTCCCATACCATGTGTGTCTGGAGGAACATCCTCAGACTTTTCAGTGGAGTCCAAAAATCTCTCTGGGCGAAATTCATCAAAGTCCGGGAAGATAGTCGGGTCTCTGAGTCAAAAATTATAACGGGGTATCTTCGCACATATAGTGCGAAAAATACCTGTTCATAGCCCTTGAACACCAGGATAAGGACGCAGGAAACAAAACCGTGAAGAAAAAAATACTCACCAAACGTTTGGAGTCACGTTCGTCCCTGTCCATGATGGTAAGCGCGTAGTAAAAGACAATCTGATGCTGAGTTCACCTTAGGGAATGAAATGCCCGACATAGCAATCGTCCTGCGTTTAAGGGTTAGCCATTTTGTCGAGAGATGATAGGATTTACAAGGCTACCCCGGTGGTGCGTCGTGGTACAGCTAGGGATTTCATGCAGCTAAGTTCAAGTTCATTTGGTTGAGAGAATGGATACTCACCCAGAGGGGAAACCGGCCTCCAGCGCAGAGTTTCCTTGATGATTGCTCGGATGTATGGTAAGCTGTCTTTGTCCTCAAAGTTGGGAAGCCGGTCGTGTCCAACCACCGCGTCTATCTCGCGTTGTGCTTTACGCAAATTATCATGACCTCAGGATATAAGTTCATAGCCAACACAAAATTGAGCAGTGTGCCTAAAGTCTTGGGACAGTGTAAGGCATGCAAAAATACCTAAGTGATTTTTGCACATCGATAGTAGTGGGAGCAACAATGAGTCAAGCAACAATGAGTCAAGTACTTCGAAAACGTAGTTAAAGCTCGCAGATGCAAAATGAGGTTGCATCAGCCGGGAGTCGAACCCGGAGCTAGGCCACATCAGAAACATTGATTACACATTGTTGTGCAGTACCAGGTGGGAAGACCCAATGTTACCGCTACACCACTGATGCTATGGCATCGGTCGCAGATGTGCAGAGTAGGTTAGCACATGTCGTACCGAGATTGGACAAATTTATTCCTCCCGCCATCCTATTGAGGAGTCAAGCCTACTTACAGATTTCGTATAGTGCGTACCATTGGTGGAGCAGTCTTTCTAATTAGCCGTGCATTGCCTTTTTAATAGACTCACTATTTGACATCGAGAGAATTGGTACGGAGTCGGGCCGGACTTCCCGTCGCACCTGAAAAAAGCATCCACCATCCCCGCCAAATCCCCGCCAGACGCCTTCCACGAAGATCGGGAGACCATGGACGACGAGTGGGAGACCCCAACGTTCGCCTTCCACGACCTGGACTACATCCCTTCAGGCTATTCCGGCATCCTTGCACCATACATCGAGACCGGACCAGGCACCATGCGAGCAGCAGCGACGCTTATGCGGCTTGACCTCCTTCCTGCAGCGACGACCCCGCCCGAACCGCTGTCTGTCCTCTGCGACCTTGGATGCGGCGACGGAGAGTTCCTCATCGGTTTCCTGGGCCACGTCAACCGCATAACGCACACCACGAGCACGACGGCCGTCCACGGCGTCGGCATCGACTACAACGTCGGGCTGATCAAAACCGCGACGCTCAACGCTGTCTCTGCGGGCCAACATGTGCGCTGGCTGACGTACGACTTCAACGAGGACCAGGATGATCTCTTCGGCCAACTGATGCGTCAACATGTTACCCATCTGTTCGTCTGTGCGGCTCATATATCTTGTCGGGCTGTCTCAAAATTCCTGATTCACAATCAGACCTCGTCCCGAAGCAGCTGGCCTTGCGGACGGTGCGGCAGATTCTGACGCGGCTGTGCGAGAGCGGAGTGGTGGTGTGCTGTCATAAGTTCCAGCCGAGCTACCTCACAGCGACGAGGCGGGATACGCTGATGGATCTGGTGGTGTATGAGAGAGAGGTTGGCGTCCCGACAGCTAGTGGTGACTGAGGGACACGATTTGAAACACGAGTGGGTCTTCGGGATGCGATGTTTCAGAGAACGTGTATTATACATAGCGTGGCTCGTATTGTACGTATTATTTCTTTGGTGGCGCGAGATATCGCATTTTGGACATCGAGGGGTTTTCCCACCAAAGCAACCGGGTGAAAATTTTGACGATGGCGAACACCAGCGTTGTGACTTCGAGCGCGGTGATGGCCCTGTACGAGTGTGTCGCTTGTCGACGGTTCGGAGGGGAGGTAGGTATTCTCCTGATATCACTCGTATAGGAGGATGAGAGTATGGTTCGAAGGATTTGGGCAAATACATTCAATGTCTGAAGATCAGAAGTAACGTCTTTTTTCCAGTGCGCGTCCATCATTCCTTTAGGAATCTAATCTCGAACACCTCCGTGCGCCAGATTCCGCCGGTTACGCCTACGGTGAACAGTCATTGGTGCATCGTAAGAAGTGATTGGGGGACGTGATAGTTCCGATAACATTTCTCGAAACGCTTCAAACACAGAAGTGAAAGGCAACCGCTCCAGAACTGCGTCCATGATCCGGAAAATACTGGTGCTGAGCGGAATACCTCGACGTTTCTTGACGGCAATGATGGCAGAGGGCAACCCTACGAGGGATGACTGATCGGCTTGTTCCAAGTCAGAACTGGAGAACTCGAGGAACGCCTGGATAACCAAGACTCCCTGAATTCCTGTTGTTCGACGATTTGGTGGCGCGCGGCGGACATCACAATCGCGGGAGTTTTCGCGGCCATCAGAAGCGAGAGGATGATCAGCGCTCTATCCTCCTGAATCTCCAGGTCCTCGAGGAAATTAAGAACATGTCGCGGGTCGATGAAGGATGGTCCGAACACGCCCTGTCGAGGGTTTCGTCGTCGTGTGTCGCTTGCACTATGTCGATGACATGGGCTTGAGCTTAGCTTCATCCCTGTTCTCCAATTTGGCGGGAATCATGTTGCGGAGTACGCGGGACGGTGTAGATTGAAACGGCGAACTGGCGGGGCGGAAGCTGGCATGCAAGACCGCAAAGGCTAAGGAAGCGACTACACCGGCAATGGAGACTAAGGACAGTGCTGAGGCGGCAACCATGGGCGCAGGTAAAGCATCCAAGGCAATAATATACTGTCGAGCAGGCGACGACAAAGAGGATGACGGGGATGACAAGCAACTGGGGGATGGTTTCGATCGCAGGACCAAGCATTTTCTCGGCGGCCTTCCAACGTGTGTGTATAGCGACAAGTTTAGAAAGACTCGTTGGTAACTGGACAACGCGGCCATGTTTAGGAAACCGCGGCAAGCGATAGCTAGTGCGGCGACGGAGAGCTGGACCGTTAATAAATACGACGCTGGATGCCTGGTTAATATCACGCACGCTAAGGATGAGTGACATGGACCAGTACGAGTTCAGGCGGACATCGACAGGATCTGGCCGGAAAGGCGCCGGGGCTGCTATTCTCAATGTGGACATATTCGCGCCGGCATTTAGTTGAATGATTATTTCAGTGAGGTTGGCGAGCAACTCATTGGTGCGGGCAGCCTCATCTTGCTGCAGCCCAGCCAGAGAGTCAACCAGAAATTCCGTGACGATTGCCGCGAATAGACCGAGCTTCATACGCGTTAGTCATAGCCTTGTTCATAGCCAGCGCATTTAGTCGACTCACAAAAACGAGCAGGGCGTCTAACCCGCTACGCCATCGGTCGACCTTGGGCTGGACGGTCTCGGCGATCCTGGATCGGAGCAAGGCGCCTCACATGCTGCTGCTTGTGGGTGGGATTTGAAGAATAGGTTGCGTGGAAACATCTAACGGCGTCAACACAGGATTCAGGAACGGAAAGTGAAGGAGATATTTACCAGCTGCGGCCTGTCGCTGGTATGCGATGAAGAACACGAATCTGCTCTTCCATAAGGCTGACAAGCTTTGCGATCCCGGCCCTGTGCAAGGGCTTGAACTTTACGCCGGGAGGTTTAAAAATGTACTGACTGGTCGTTCATATGGGGCACCACTTGTCGTATCTATAGATCAATTTGGGTACTTGCTAAATAAGGAGTAAGAGAGAGTAAGGGACGGGATCACATACATCTCGGGCGCGAGCCTGAAGATGATTGTCGGGAAGAGGCCGCACGAAGCTGTAGAGAAGCTGTGCATCAGAATAATCGTAGTGGCATAGGCAGAGTCGAAAACGCACGCTGATGCGATCGGGCGCTAAGGTACTTAGGCATCTCCCTAAATTTAGTTCCCTCGTGCCATTTATTTACAGATCCCGAAGCGCCAGCGCTCGCTGTGACGGTCGAAATGAATCAGAGCACGGATTGGGCACAGATGAAAAAAGTGCAGCACGCACTCGGTGTCAACCCAATTTTTGTTAGATTTATACCAGCATCTATGTAGGAGGCGTGGCAGCACAGCTCGTGAATGCACTCAGCCTGGGGAAGCTCGGGAGGCGGTGGGCTCTCGCTGCATCCATGATCCCTGCGAGTCGGGTCAACGTCGGAGTCGGAAGGCGAGCTGAAAGGGGATTGTCTCCCCGCCACGGTATTACATGAAGAGATGGCCTGTCCCTCGGATTTCTTCCTTCCTTTCAACTTGCTATTCCTGGTGTTGAACATGGCCACAGCAATGGATATCTTCTGATACATCGGCAGATAGGAACAGCATGCATCGAACGAAGTTTCGAATGGATAGTTTTCCAAAGATTGTGTGAACAGAATCGTTAGGAAACGTTTGCAGTGCAGCCTCGAGGCGTTCAAGTTGGCTATGTCCACGCGACATGGATTCAACTTCCGCTGTTGATGCGGACGGCTATCTGATGCTTGACAGATCTCCTTCTGCCTCCTTCATCGACGTTGTTTCCAGCTGAAAACTCGCAGGGTAAGGACCCGCACAGGTTAAGAGGATCACGACGACTGACTCGAGCCAGGTTCTACGCATCAACCAGATCCGAGGTCGTCTCCAAATTTCCGCAACTCCGCACGTTGTCAACGGCTCTGCTCGATATCCATCGCACAGCCGCTCGGGTCCGCCTCGCACAGCATCGTCCTCCGACGGGAAGCCATCGTAGAAGGAACGTGCCTGGACGTGTCGCAAGCTGCAGTTCCTCTGAGAAGTCCTCTGCACGACTAGAAGCGACGAGTGAGCGCTAGACGGTGACCAAAGCAGTTCCGTCGGTTTTCAAGGAGCTTTAATGCGTGTTTCATGGCTCGCCAGTCCATCATCTACAGATTACCGCGCTTGAAGCTGTGGATCCTGCCGGCAGTCCGCGGTGATGGCGGCTCCCCTCCATTTTGACTCGGACAATCTTGTAAGTTTCCTTTTGTCCTCCAATTGCTGTGAGTCAATTGAAGCGCAGATGGACGCAGCTCGCCGAGTCATCTCCTCAATGGACGAAGTCACACATGCAGTCACATACCACGGTAACGCTCTCATAAATCCCACTGTCGACCGGAATGCAACGCTCTACCCTGGCCTCCAAATGCCAGACCCCTCCCGTATGCTACGCCGAAGAGCCAACATCATGAGCCCCACAAGCGACCGCCCTCCCCCCCTCTCCCCCCGGCGACGGCTGGGCGCGTCCATTCGTCGTCGATTTGGCCGTATCGGTCGCTCGAAGTCACCTGGCGGCCACGAGACAATGCCCAGGAACTCCAGTTCGAGCGCGGATGATGCGGTACCCAAGATGCTGCGGGACGGGATACTCTTAACGAAGATATCGACTCAGAAACAGCGCGAGCTGCTCTTCCGGCTCGATCCAGAACGCGGGCAGCTCATCTGGGAATCCAAAGTCAAAAAATACGGTACTTTACTCAATCTTGTCTTCGCATATTGCTGAACTGACCCCCCGCCAGTTTCGATCGAGGCCGTCCGAGAGCTGCGCACTGGGTCGGACGCTAAAAATTATCGCGAACAATTCCAGCCTCCGAACAAAGACTATGAAGACCGGTGGCTCACCATCATCTACATCGTCGACTCCACGTACAAGACCATGCATCTCCTCGCGCCCACGAAGCAAGT